CACACACACACTCACACACACACACACACACACACACACACACACACACACACACACACACACACACACACACACACACACACACACACACACACACACACACACACACTTTTTGTTTTAGTGCGTCCACATAAACTGGTAGATGGAGATGCTCCGAAGGTAGAGATGCTCAAGCAAGAGGTAGTAGAGGAGCCCGAAAGTGATGAGGTAGAAGGGTCGCGAATGAAGGTTTATATGAAATATGCTATAAGGTACTTGAAATGCTCCTGCAACTGTGCTCATCACGCTCAGATGCTCTGCAAGTCATGCTCTGATGCTCCACCACTCATGCTCAAACAAGCTTGCTCACCACGCTCAGAAGCTCTACAATTCATGCTCTGATGCTCCACAAGTCATGCTCGCACAACTCTGCTCAGCACGTTCAGATGCTCCACGATTCATGGTCTGATGCTACACACTTCATGCTCCCGCAACTCTGCTCATCGCGCTCCGATGCTGCACAGTGCATGCTCATATGCTCTAACACTCATGTTCCGAACCTTCTCCATGCTTTCGTCCATCATCATGCTCGACATGTTCCATCACCATGCTAAAATGACATGCTCACGCAATTCTGCTCAGCTGCTATTCACAACACACAAGCTGAAAGCATCACGATCCACTCAAGCTTGATGGGCTCGAGGTCTTCTGGGGTTTGGGGTATGTCATGCTCACGGCATCGAGAATTCACCCATGCTCAAATACCAAATGCCCAAAATGAAAATCTCGTTCTTGAAGGACTGGTTGAAGCAACAGCAATGATGCACCATACACAGCTTGCGTTACAGGACGTCTATAACCATCACTGCAGGTACGTGGAGATGGCGTCCCATCTCCATATCACTGTGCACTGAGAGCGTCTTCGTTGGCAGGAGACTCTCAGGCACACTCCTGCCCCCTGCTGAATATCATGTGCAAAAACTTGTTAGATCGCAAATTCGTGCTTCTTTTCACTCTCGTATGCAGTGCTTGTTGACGTTCCCGCATGTACAGCGGTGTGCCACACACACCCCTTTCGGGGCGACAAATGGATTGAGAGCATGGAATTCACACGTAGAGGTAGTCCAAGTCCACGAACTTTTCAGCTCTTTGTTTGGCTTGTTTGTGCGGTGCCGTGATCAGGTGGATTTCCCATTGTCGCACTGTTCTGGAAGCAATCCTGCAAATTGGACAGGCGAGATATCTGTCCTCCTTTGGGTGGCATTTCATCTTCTTGACCTTCCCGTACTTGTGATGCTTCCGATGTCGATTGGGATTTGGACACGATCTGCTTCTGGGTGTATGGTAATCATCTCGTTTTTGGTACTTCAGGAGCATGTCTTGCACCCGCTTGGTACTCTCCTCGTGACTCATCACCTTCTCGAAGTCCGCCCTGGTCTGGATGTAGCGGAAGTGGTACATGATCTCGTGGCTGGTCATGGGATCGTGTTGCCGATGTTAAGAAAGCACGGGTAGCAAGGTGATGGGAACAGCTACTCTTTATGCGAAGCAGCTGCACATGACGATCACAAGGCAGCGGATCAAAGAGAATGTTACATCGACTTACGGCTCCAGTCTCTTTCGCTCAACAAATGGTTCGGACACACTAGGATGACATTGCACAGACACTTGACGCTCAGCATTGACGCTTGTTCTGTTGTTCATCTGGTCGTGGAATAGCCCTGTGTGAAACTGCGCCGAACACTGATTGTCACACGTTTTGGCACAATTGCACACTCTCTCAAAACTGAAAGATGCTCTGCATGCGTTAAGGCCTGCGTCGGTGGTGCATCTAAGCCGCATGTTCCTACTCAGCGCCCATAAGGTCTGATGTCAGTGGGGGATGGGGTTGAGGATATTACGGTCTGCACGTCGAGCATGGTTTGAACAACATCTCAACCTCTGCCTTCTGGTAGGAC